ATATACGTGGTAACCCTAACTATTTTCTAGAAAATGAGCTCCTCAGACCCATTGTGGATAGTCCAAGAAGATGGGTCCTCATGCCCTCATTTTTAATCAGTTATAGACAGCAGTGTGGCGACTTTCCATTCACTGGCTTACTCATTCCTGAGAGGTGGATAGGATTATGGAGACTTCTAAATTTGACCAAAGACACCCTGCAGGCCTCAGTATTCATTCCTTTTCTGTTGCCAGAAGCACAACACCATAGACTGGGTGAGCTTTCACAGACAAAAAGAGAGTCTGTTCTGATAATTTCATGTATGTATATATAGTATATAATGCATTCTGGTTATTCCCTCAATCTTACTGCACCCTTATCCCCCCTCCCCCTCCTGCTGAGCCCTTGTTTCTTTAAACAAGTCAGTCACCTAATATTTTCACATCTTTTTGTTGCTGATGTTGTGACCCACTGAGTTAATTTTATTTATTATTATTATTTATTTTGTATTAGCTGACTTTAATTCAGAGTTGCTTGCATGAGTAGTGCAGGGGGTGGGGGGGTAGGTTTACTGGATCAAGGCAACTTGCCACTGAATATCATGATTTCCCCTCCCCCAGCAATCATTAACTGCCAACAGCTCCTTTGGGAGCAGTGATGCTTCACAAGCCCCTCCCCCATGTGGAATGTTGATGAGGCCCCAGCTTGAGCAAGTCACAACTGCTGTGAGTAACTGCAACAGCCATGCTATATCCAGATATCAGTTTTTTGAAGCACTACCCACCATCTTTTGGTTCTTACATTCTTCCTGCTTCCTCCTCTGGGATATCCCTGAGCCTAGGAGTGGGTGATACGTTTCCCTTTGTGAGTGAGCACTCGACAGTCTCTTATTCTCAGGCCTTTGACCAGTTATCAGTCTCTGCAGTGGCTGTCACCTGTGTAGAAGCTTCTCTGGCCAATGTTTGAGCAGCATGCTCTGTGCCTACAAAGTACATACTGAGAAGGCAATTCCATCTCATGTCCATTTAACAAAACTACAGTTGCAGTGCATCTCTCTTCCAGGGCCTATGATCTGCATACCCTCACTTTTGATGGGTTGTATGTATAACATAATAAGGCATATATTCCCTCCCATGGGGGCCCCAAATCCAAACAGAACACAGTTTTCTTCCATAACAGTCATGCCACTATCACACCTGTGGACACTCAGACCCTCTTGCCTTGCAGATTGGTAACAGCTCACGGGATTCACAGATGAGTAAAATTGCTGATGCCTTTTCTTCTTCAGTAATGTGCTTTGCACTTTCTGCCCGTTTGGTAGCTATCCAGCAGAAAGTCTCCTGATCAGTTGCATTTGAAATCTTTATGTCCTGCAGTCAAAGTTTCTCATTCTTTTTATAATGCCACCAAGGTACAATCATGGGGGCTCCACCCCAAAGAAACTCTCTAACCTTCTTAATATTCACAATAAGGAATTAGTTTAAATCCATAGAGTCTTAGGGAGGCATTAAACTGTATTCAAATAGTAGCTGCCTCTGCAGATCTTAAAATCTTTCTCTCTGTTCTTTCCGCTCATACCCTTTTCTTCTTGCATTGGTATACCTGCATCGTGGTTGTCTATCATTTCCAGACTCCCATCCTTTCCTGGGTCCTACACTGAGGTTTTTCTCCCCATTGAACATCTTGCTCATTTAACCCACTCAGTCTTGGCATTTGGACTCTGAATATCTGGAAAGATTCACAAGATTTTGTCACTGCCATGCTCAGAATCACATCACAAACAGCTGGCTGTTGTGGTCTGGAAGCTGAGGATGGAAGATGCAGCATTAAGTTAGCTTGGGAGATTATATATATATATATATATATATATATATATATATATACACACACACACACACACACACACACACACTCTGTCTCAGAAAAACAAAAGAAAAATAATAACAATAATGACAAAACTAGACAGGAAGGAAGAACAAAGACAAAGTAGGAAAAAGGGAGCAGGAAGGAGGCAGAGAGAGGGTAGAAGTGTACTTAGCGATCTCAATCGTTTGTCTTCTTTTTATTCTAAATGCTAATTAAATTGCTATCTATTAAAATCTTTCCTATCAGTTCTGATTCTAAAAGAAATTAAATCAAGGAACAGTGCTCAAAGGAATAACGGAAATAAAATCTACTGGATAGGAGGTGACCACCACATCAGTTTATTGCTGCTCTACTGGAGTGACATAAACATTCAATTCATTTACTTCTTCATGAAAGGATCATGTACTTCATACCGAAACACATTTTATAAAGCCTGACTTCACATTTCTATTGACAATTCAGCTGACAGAAAACATACATTTTAAATAGTAGCCAATAATGACTTAAATCAAGTTTTCTTTGCTTGTGTATATATACTTGTGAGTGTGCATGCATGGTCTGTGTTGTAACGTGTGTGTGTGTGTGTGTATACAGGTGCTCAGGAGTGTGTTTATGCATGTGGAGGCCAGAGGATAACTTCAGTTATATTCATCATCCATCTCCTTAGTTTTAGTGACCCAGCTTGCTATATAGGCAGACTGGTTAACTCATGAGCCTAGGAATCCATCTGCTTGTCCCCATCTGCTCAGTGTCAGGATGTCTTTCCTTTTAGCACTTATTTTTTTTTTTTTTTTTGATTCATGCTATTTTTAGTGATGTGAATATGGGTATGTATAAGTATGCACTTGAGTGCCCGTGGCGAGGTAATGGATCCCTGGAGCAGGAAGCTGTAGGATGTTGTGAGTGCTGGGGACATCATCCAGTCCTCTGCAAGATCCATGTTCATTCTTAACTGCTGAGCCAGTCTTTCCATGTCTTCTGTTTTGAGATGGATTCCGTTATTTAGTCTAGGCTAGTCTCCAGCTCATAATGTTCCTGCCTTTGCTTTGCAAGTGTTGAGATTACAGGGATGTACTACCAAGATTGGCTTCTAAATCCAATTTTCTTGCCCATTCAGAATTTTTCAGAATTTTTAAATTATGTGTGAATATGTAGAAAAGATTTGTGGCTGAATTAGATATTTAAGCTTTGAAAATTATTTACACTTTATTTTGATTGGGTATTGGTGTCTCAGATTTTCTTGTTGATACTTCTTTGTAAACTTCTGAATTTATTTATTTATTTTAAAATAACGTCTTCCTATGCAGCTCTGACTATTCTGGAACTCAGAGATCTGCTTGCCTCTGCCTCAAGAGTACTGGAATTTAAGACACTCACCACCGCACAAGGTGTAAACTTATGAATTTTAAAAAAGAAAAATGGGAATTAAAAGTATAGTTTGGGGACTTCCGGGCGGGACGAGCTTGTAGCTGGGTCTGTTGAAGGACATCGGCTGCAGAATTTGTGACTTGGGTTAAGACTGAAGTCATCGTTGGTGTGGAAAGTGATGGCAAATTCCAGTTCATTGGTATTACTCTCACAGGTAGAATGAATTGTGTACTCACCATATACGGAGGCATCACTTTGTTGGTTTTATACTTCAAGTTAAGGCCTAATAGAACTTCAGCAGTGAAAGCATCCTAAATGAACCTCATCTGCTAAGTCCCATGCATGAAAAAGCTGACGTCAACTTATCATGTAATACTCAATTTGTATAATAAATTATAAACCTGGAAAATATTATACAAGATTGAGAAGGATTACAAAAGACAAAGAATCCCCCCCCCTTTTTTTTTCGTATGGAGTCGTTAAAGTATGGAGAGGCTAGAAGAGGGAGTATTTAAAGTTCTTTTAATTAACTTGTTTAAATCAATGTTTTTTGATCCACACATTCAGGTAACTGATGTTTTAAGCTCAAAATGTACCGTAAATTTGAAAAAAATTTTTTTGAGATTTATTTAAGCATTTTATGTTTATGAGTGTTTTGCCTGTGTATGATTGTGTGTGTGTACTTGCGCATGTCTGATGACACTGAGGTCAGAAGGGGGAATTGGATCCACTGGGCCCGGAGTTACAGATGGGAGTGATATTTGGGTGCTGGGGGGTCCTCTACAAGAGCAGTAAGTGCTCTCAACTGCTGAACCTACTCTTAATGCCCTTGAATAACTCTTTATAAAATACTCTATTGGTAGAAAGTACGATGAAATAACCAAGCCTTAAGTTAGCAGCCAGAACACAGCAGTGGTGCTTAAAACACGTTGGGGGCGGGTGGTGGTGGTGCTGCTGATAGCATCGATAAGACATTTTATTCTATGCAATGGTCTGTCAGAAAGTGCTTTGTATTCGTCTAATCTAGTTAGAGGCAAGGAAACAGAATTCAAGGTGCTGAAAATCAAGTGATAACAAATTAACCACATCTGTTATTGAAAGTCTTCCCCAGCTCTTATTTATGCAAATAAATAAATAAATAAATAAATAAAAAACCAAAAAAAAAAAAAAAAAACCCTAAAATTCAGGATCCTACCACAAGAATAATGATTCGTGATTGCTTTTGTACATATGTACTCATGAGGTTTAATAGTATATCTCAGATTCCTAGTAGAATAAGTCTCCTTGACCTGAAATCTGTCACAATTCTAGGCCACATTTCTGACCTATGTTGAGAGAAGTAGATTTTGGTTTACTTTCATCATTTTTTTTCCCTTTCATTGCCTCCACCCTCACCCTCTAAACCTTTCATTCTTGTCTTTTTTTTTTTCATTCAAACGAGGCCAGGTGCGTCGTTTTATCATCTCATTCAAAATGGTGCCACGTCACCCACCCGCTCCGTGCCAGAATGGAGAGAGGTGCTGTCACTTCTGCTTCCAGCGTGGAGCCCCGCCCTCTGCTGCTCACCTGCTTGGGTGGGGGGGGATGACACAGAGGCCACTGTCACGAGCCCGAGGCCCGGTTCCCTCCAGGCGGTCTAGACCCCCTCCCCCTCTGCAGAGCTGCCCCGCCTCTCCCGGATCCCGGTCTGCCGAGCGCATTGATTTGCATATTTCTACCTTTGTTCCCCGGCCATGGCCAATCAGAGTGCGGGGCGAGGCGGGGCGGCGGGGCGGGGCGTGCGCTCGGCCGAGCTGCTGCGGCCGCAGGTTGCAGAGCGGGTGGGAGCCGCTGCGGGCGCGGCACTGCAGCCCCGAGCCTGAATCCCGAGCCCGAACCCCGAACCCAGGCCCCGCCACAGGCCCAAGAGGCTAGGATCCAGCGGCTACTCGCCCGGCCCCGCAGAGGACGCCTCGACTCGCAGGCGCCCGCCAGCTCACGCTCCACGATGGTGTGCGGGGGCTTCTCGTGCTCCAAGAACTGCCTGTGCGCACTCAACCTGCTATACACCGTAAGTAGCCTGCACCCGGTGGCACCTGCGGGGGCCGCCAGCCTCTGACTAGCCGCCTGAGCCCCATTCTACGCCCTCTGCCGCCTTCCCATGCCCCAGCCTCGCTCGCGGCCCCCGCCCGAGACCCCAATCCTTGTCGCAGTCTCCGCCCCGTCCTTCATTGTGGCGCTCGCCCCTCGCCAGGCTCTCTGCAGCCCTTCTCTTTGCCATTCCCTTCGAACTCATCCGTCCCTCCCTGCTCTCGCATCCCTCCCCAGGATCCCATCCCTTTCCCTCCAGCTGCACGCTCCGGCCAGGCCATCCCATCTAGATGGTGATCGGAGGCTGGAGAACAGCCCAAGCTTGGAGAACAGTTTTTGCGTGATAGCGTGGCCTGGCATGGACCAGGCGGCCTGTGGATGGCGCGCTTCTGGCTCAGGTCTGAGCGCTGTCCTTTGAATGGAGGCCTCCAAGCGAGTTCACAGGATATCCGTGGCTTCCGAAGTTTGTTTAGTGCTTACATAAAGTCTCTTTGTTGATGTTCCTGCCAGTGAGGTTCCAACTTGATGGTTTTCCCATGCCTTCTTCCTCCTCCCCCTTTATCAATATCCAAACTCCATTTAGTATATAATCCTCCACCCAAGTCGTTTGTTTTTTGTCCCTGTTTATCAGTTCATGCTTCCCAGTGGTAACGTTGAAAGCCCGTTTTCATTTTTGAGTTATTCTGGCTGAACAGGAGGAAGACAAGGTGACGTTTATTAAAAACCTTCTATATTCCTTTTCATGGACATTTATCATGCTATTATTTTTCTGTGGCAAGCGGGGTTGTCTGTATTTTATAACGGCAAAGATCAAAAAAGGGTTTTAAATACGTTTTCATACTGGTAGTCGGTGGGTCTGGAGTGGAACCGAGCTGTGGAATCTAGATCTTTCCATAAGCTGTCTCCACTGGGAGGACGAAACTTCCTCTCAGCCATCTCACTCCATCGCAGACGTGCTCCCTTCTATAAATACACCTGGTGCTTGCAGCATCCACCCTGAAAACAAACCCGGCTCCCCTGCTTTAGCAGAGCCAGGCCATCTGGGCCAGCTTAGGTTACATCCATGGGCAATCGAGGCGGGCTGCTTGGGGTTAAGAACAGAGGCAACCGGTCATTTTACCTCTTTGTGTGTGTGTGTGTGTGTGTGTGTGTGTGTGTGTGTGTCTGTGTGTCTGTGTGTGTGTCTGTGTGTGTGTGTCTGTGTGTCTGTGTGTGTGTCTGTGTGTGTGTGTCTGTGTGTCTGTGTGTGTGTGAACAAGATGGCAAATCTTTGAAGGCAAGCCAGAAATAGGCGTAAGCTTTTCTGGCTTGTTCTTAGGAATATAGACAACAGGTTCACAAATGGTAGGCTTGGAAGAAAGAGTCTAGAACACAGGGTGATGTAGCACCTTGTAATTGGAGATACATGTCATGTTTCATATCGAAACCCACCAGTCTCACGTGAGGCATGCTGACCATGTTGCTTATTAATTCCCATCCGTTCTTCAACAGTTTTCTCTTATTTGCTTGAAATGTCGCATTCTATTTTGTGCCTTGAGCCCCCTCCCCCTCCAGTGATTCGGTCATCTGTTTACCTGATTCTCCTTCTTACTGTGCCCGAGTACAATGGCTGCTTCTGTGCTTTGTTGGCTGTAAACATCAATGTGCAATAGATACATTTTTAAAAACAGGAAGGTTTTTTTTTTTTCTTTTTCAAACCAAGTACTAATTGCTTTCAAGATACATTTTTTTTTTTTTCTTTCTGGCTGTATATGCAACATGTCATGGACACCATGAGAAAGAAAAGTTGACACTAGACACTAGAGAGATATGTTAAGATTATTTAACATATGTTCTAAACTTGACCCCCCCAACAGTGATTTTTAACAGGTGTACAGTAAAACTTAACCAATTGGAAATTCATGGGACTTAAGTATGGTTAGTTTTTTTTTTTTTTTTTTTTTTTAAAGTCTTAGACTGTTTTAAACAAAGGGACAGTCCTTAAAATATGGTATTTTCTGCCTGCCTCCTATATGTTGCAAATAGGTTATAGTATTGTAAATGTAACAGTTTAAGTGGGAGGTGAATGAGAGGTAAAGTTGGATGAGATTTTAAAAGGCAGAAAAATCTTCTGCAGCTATCAATTACGTTCTGTCTCTCTCCCTCTACATTTTAAGGTTTTTTTTTTTTTTTTTTTTTTTTTTTATGTGGTTGCTGGCAAAGTTGAGCTTGGGTCCTAGGAGGTACTTTTTTTTTTAGATCAGGAATAAAAAGATCCTTTGTAGGTTTTACTCGGGCCCTGGTAACTGCCTCTAAGGTCTGTTCAATGCTGCAGGATTAAATATGAGCTCATTTCTCCAAGTGTTAGAGCTACGACGATTGCATGTGGGAGTGGCAGGTAGAAAGGCCCATGCCTGTGTTCGACGTCAGCACTGTTGTTTTGAATCATTTCCTGAGGAACTTGGGACTCTAGCAGCAGAGCCGTGTGCATCCTCAAGTGATACAAGGAGCCAGAGCTTTGCCAGTATGACCAGTCTAGAAACAGAAAGCAGGTCCCTGAAACAAGTTGGGGGGAGCATCCCCTAATATGTCCTGGGGATTCAGTGACCCTATGGAGGTTAGTGGTGGGTTTTCTGCCATGGTTCCTATAACCAGGGGGGATTCCCAGTACTGGAATGACCCTGGGTTAATGTAGTGTGTGTAAGCAGTCTGCAAGTGTAGATGGAAAGGGGAAGCCCAAGCAGTGTTGTAAGGGAAAGGACTACTTGCTTCAGAACTTCCTGTATTTAGAGATGACGAGTTTCTTTAGTCAACAGTGTTGGTTGTGTGCCTCCTGTGTGTTGACTGTAGCCTGCAAATACAGGGCTCTAAAGTATGTTTTGATGAAGTCTGTGTTTCATTTATTTCATTCATATGATCTTGAGGACAGTATTCTACCAGTAAAATTTTTGTCTATCTTCCACTGCCCTGAAACCTAAGGGAAATTAACATAGAAGGCTTGTGTGAATATTTATTTTCCCTGTAGGAATATAGGCTCTAGTTGGGGTTATCAGATGGTGTTTAAGAACTTAGATAACTTAAAATTTTGGACTGAGTGAAATCTTCCTGAGTTAGGAATAAAGAAAGGGTATTTGAATTGAGGAAATGAAAGGATATCTAGTCTCTTTCATACCTTCAGCCATACATATAAATTAAAATTAGCTTGGGAAATTAATTACTTTATTTCTTTATTTTGAGACAGGACACTGTCCAATCTGGTCTTGAACTATGTGGGCCAGGCTGCCCTCAACTTGGAATCTTCCTGCCTTAGCTTCTTTTTCCTTTCAAATTAATTAGCCATTTATTACATAGTTAGTCCAATACATTGGTTCCTATTAAAGCAGAATTCCAAAATTCAAGGGTAGCAGGATAAATGTTACTTTCAGTTATGAAACAGAACTACTATTTTTATCTCAAATTCAAATAACTGTCTCTAGGTTTCATAGCAAGAGGTAGTAAAGGTTTCAGATATTAACTATGATGTCAGCCATTCATCACATTTCCTACAGAAAATTGAAATTCCAGAACCCTCTGTATTGTTCCAGATGCCTCATTTTACAAGTATTCTCCCTTGAACTTCACAGACTCTAATGCTTCTTGTATTCAAAGCTATTGACTCAGAATCTTAAATGCCAGGGTAGAAGTCTACCACCATGCTCTATAATATAGTACATTTGTACATTCATGTGTTTATTTAATTCTTTTGTGTAAGAGTGTTTAAGTGCATGTATGCCTGTGTACCATGTATGTGCTTATTGCCTGAAGAGGCATGGATGCCCTGGAACTGCAGTTACAGATGGTTGGAAGCCACCATGTTGGGTGCTGGGATTTGAACCTGGATCCTCTGCAAAAGCAGCCAGTGTTGAACTGCAAAAGAGAGGATAACTTAAAAATTAATTGGTTGGACAGATGGTTTTGTAGAATAGAATCAAATAGAAAAACAGGACACAAAGTGTTTTTCCTGTACCCTGGCCTGTCAGAGTTGCTCTGCCGTGCCAACCCGATGCCCCAGCAGGGTAAAGAAAGGCATGTGACAACCAGAGTTTGACCCCTGAGCCCCACATGTGGAAGGAGAGAAGTGACTCCTACAAGATGACCTCTCACTTTTGCACCTCTGCTGTGACCTGTATCCCTCCCATATACACAGGCACATGGTTAATACAAAGAAAGGAAAATTGCGCTGCCAACTTCTGGGTGGTGGCACATACCAGTTGGCACTTGGGAGGCTGAGGTGGAGGATGGCCACAAGTATGGGGACAACTAGCTGTGTAGGGAGACCCTATTTTATCCTCTAACCCCAAATAAAAGAGATTTGAACGGTCAGTTTATACACATAGGAATGGTGTAATATGGTTAAAAATCATTTTGGGATTTAAACTGTAGGCATGATTTGATATGTAATATACATAGTTTAATATATATGGGTTTTGAGTACAGAAAATAACAGAGTTGAAAATCAGAAAGAAATTTCATAAGGTGTGTGTGTGTGTGTGTGTGTGTGTGTGTGTTTGCTTGCTCGTGTGTTCATTCCTCTAAAATCTTCCCAGGCCTTTTTGCTTTCACTGTTTCTTAATGTGAGAGCGTGAGAGTCTTGACTGTTTACCTCAGGTTGCCTTGAACTTGCTGTCATCTTCCTGCCTCAGTCTCTTGTCTGTAGGATTGCAGGCGTTCGTAACCATGCCCAGCTGAATTCTTTTACTTTCTTCTTCCTTTGGTAAGTAGCTCACTTTACAATTTTTCCTTCTTGAGAAGAGTTCCCCTGAAACATCAAAAATTATAGTGATTTCTAGATTTCTGTTTTTAACATGTCTAACATGAGTGCTAGGTTAGGAGGAGCCTGGGTCCTTCGTGGTGGAAGGAGAGAAACGATTCCTACATGTTATCCTCTGACCTCCACATGTACACCATGGCATGTGTGTACTAAGCCCACCCCAAACAATGAGTAAACAAATAAACAGGTGT